TCTACCACCCCATTCCTTCCTCGATTTCTTCTATTTTATAATGCTGCTTTTAGAATTATTTCTGCCAGGAACTATAATTTATACTTTTAAGCGAAGAACTTCATGACCATGATCTATTGTAACTTTACTTCTAAACATAGTAATTTGATTACCATTTAAAATATTATTTTATAACCTGAAGGATTTTAGATCATATAAATATATATATTAGATTACATAAATATAAAAGACAATTTGATGGGAATAGTTACAGAGTCCAAATAGATCAAGAGTAAGCTATCTCCAAGGTTTTGAAAGTTATTTGCACAACTACACAGACATAAAGGTTAAGAATGTTCATTATTTCTCAGTTAAATAATATTTCCAATCATCTGTTACAGAATACTTAATGTAAGAACATTAAATTAAAAATTGTTATAACTTAGTGATTATTATTAAGTAATACAGTTCACATAGTAAGTTAAAAATTAAAAAGTAAGTATAACACAATTTTATAATGTGAGTGAGCTTTGCATCACATGCTGGGCAACTCTTGAAGAGAAAGGAGTGGAGAATCCAAAGAGCTCAAGAGTAAGATACTGAAGTTGCATAGGTTTTTTGCATGACTGCCTAGATCTATCCTTACAGTTCAACAGTGTTGCTGAGTAGTCTGTAGTAGACCTATTGAGCACAAGTTGACATTGATTTCAAATATCACTTGACTGAACTTGATAAGGCATCATTCTTATTCTTTTGATAGATCCCAACTGACCAATGGAAGAAAAGAATCAGACTGCAGTGACCGAGTTTCTCTTCCTTGGCATCACAGATAACTTCCATCAGAAGATTGTCCTCTTCATCATCTTTCTCTTTGTTTATTTTGTCACCCTGGGGGGTAACCTGGGCATGATCACTCTCATATGGGTGGACCCCAGGCTGCACACACCTATGTACTTTTTTTCTCAGCCGCCTGTCCTTTGTAGATGTGTGCTCCTCTTCTTCCATAGCCCTGAAGATGCTGTGCGACATCTTTGCAGAGAACAAAGCCATCTCTTTTGTGGGCTGTGCTGCACAAATGTGGTTCTTTGGTCTCTTTGTGACAACTGATTGTTTTCTCCTGGCCATCATGGCATATGATCAGTATACAGCCATCTGTAAGCCCTTGCTGTATACACTCATTATGTCCCAGAGGGTCTGTGTGCAGTTTGTCATAGGACCTTATGTCCTAGCTACTATAAACATCACAACTCATACAACCTTGACTTTTTGCTTACCATTCTGTGGTCTAAATACCATCAACCATTTCTTCTGTGATGTTTCCCCTCTGCTTTCCTTAGCATGTGCAGACACGTGGATTAACAAGGTAGTGCTTTTTGTCCTTGCTGGAATGATAGGGGTTCCCAGTGGTCTGATCATCCTGATCTCCTACATCTGCATCCTGGGGGCTATCTTAAAGATCAAGACTGCTGATGGTAGACAGAAAGCCTTCTCTA